AAAATTAAAAAAAAAATTAAAAATAAATAAATAAATATTATAGGTGTGTTAACTCAGCAAAAATATTCTAAAAGAGTCCAGCAGCCCATGACAGTACTGTGCTTCACGTGGTTCCTGAGAAGTCTCAGTCCACAGCTGGCGGGCTCCAAGGCGGGGCGGGGTGGGGGGGGGCGAGGCGGCGCCTGGTGGCAGAAGGCCGCAAAGCAAGCAAGGGAATCAAAAGTGACCTCGGCAGCTTTTTTCGGCTCCTTTTATGTTCTGTGCAGGCCACCAGGATCAGGGTGGTGCGAGCCAAGCAGCAGACGGATGTGGTGACTTCACACCCTTAATCCTAGGGCTTCAATCCTAGCACTACGCCAAGAATCAATCCCAGCGCCACAAACTCCAGACCCAGCCAGCTCTAGAAACATCCCCACCTGCGCCTGCATGGAGCTTTGGGGGACATCTCGGCACAAACCACACCACCAACCAAATACCCCCCAAAAGTCCCAGCTCCCCAAAGCTGATTTATGGGGAGCTAAAGGGGAGGAAAGCAAAATCCACACACCCGCATTATTGGAAATGGTATCAGTGAGACAAGAAGGCAGACGAACAAGACGTAAGTAATAAGGGTCAAATAACCAAATGTTCAGAAGACCCTTAAAAACAAAATAGGTAGCAACCATTGAAGAAGAGTAGCCCTGGCCCTCCGCTAGCCCACGGCCGTGGGCCTCAACAAGGGCCACAAGGTGACTAAGAATGGGAGCAAACCGAGGCACAGCCGCCGCCGCGGACGTCTCACCAAGCACACCAAGTTCGTGCGGGACATGATCCGGGCGGGAGGTGTGCGGCTTCGCCCCCTGCGAGCGGCGCGCCATGAGCTGCTCAAGGTCTCCAAGGACAAGCGCGCCCTCAAGTTCATCAAGAAAAGGGTGGGGACGCACGTCCGCGCCAAGAGGAAGCGTGAGGAGCTGAGCAGCGTGCCGGCCGCCAAGAGGAAGGCAGCTGCCAGGAAGGACTGAGCCCCTCCGGAATAAAGCTTTGCAGAAAGGAAAAAAAAAAAAAAAAAAAGATTAGCCTGGACTATGCAGTGACTTGTCTCAATAATGCTAACAATGGTAATAATAACACCAGTCCTCTGGACAAGCAGCCGTGTGGTGTAAGCAGAGACGTTAGGACGCACAGAGGAAGACAGGTAGGTTATATGCCAACGGCCATCGCTGACGGGGCTTCCGCACTGCCTTTGGTACCCTGGAAGCCACCTCCCAAGCCAGGGTCAGAGGACTGCATGGAGACGCCCTGCATGGGCCACAGATGGGCTTCCATTTACACGACTCCACTAAGGCCTGCTGTAGGGAGATGACACCTGTAATCCCAGCACTTGGGAGGCTGAAAACGGGCAGATTACTAGGAGTCTGATCTGTATAGTGAGACCTGGTACTAAATACACTTTATTTTTTTTTAATTTTATTTGTGTGTGTGTGTGTGTGTGTGTGTGTGTGTGTGTGTGTGGCCAGCTCAGCCCACCAGGGGGCGGGGCTGGCTGGCATGTGGTGCTGGGGGATTGAACAGCTGTCCCTGTGCTTTTGCTTAGTTTAGCTTGTTCTAAGTAGGTGCTTTAGACCACTGAGCCATCTCACCAGCCCCACTAAATACACTTTAAAAAAAAAAAAAAGGCTGGTAGTGGGCTGGAGGCCACGACCCTGCAGAAGCTTGTACTGCAATGGAAGGTGCTGAGCGCCAAAGAGATGGAGCTGTGCGAGCTGGCACAGGCAGCGGGCGCTGCCGTCGATCCCGACATGTCCGGGATCCCGGTGACCTGCTGAATCTGAACGTGGCCCCCCACGGTCTTCCAGATGCTCGAGCGTATGTGCGCAGGGCAGAGGTTGGCAAGCAATCCCCAGGACCCTGCAGCTGCGTCTCTGCCCTCGTCCAAGACTCGAGGGAGGACAGAGGTGGCCTGGCTCTTGGTGACGTACCCACTGACAGAGTGCAGCAGCTGGGGACTGAGCCAGAGGACGCTGCGCCAGCCCAGTGCTACCAGGCTGCCCAAGGGGGTGGCCTGGGGAGAGCGCCTCTTGCAGCAGCACATAATGCGGGAGCTAGGACTGCTTTGCCCACCTTCTGGGTGCCACCAATCTCAACAGAAGCTGCATGCTGTTTCCTTGTGCTGAACATTTTCCAACTAATACATTAAAAGAAAAAAAATTACTGAAGAAAAATACAGAAAAAAACAAAATCCATTCTTAGCTACTCAGTAATAAAGTAGCCGTGGGCTGGAGGTGGCCCTGTCCGGTGAGCGCCACACCCCATCAGGCATCCAGGAGCCCAAAGCGCCAAGACTTGGACACACACGAACCGGCCAGTTTATTTTTGTAGTAACACAGAGCTGTTTCCATGGTCTTAAGTACCCACATCAGCATGAGCAATGAGCCAATGTTCTTCCCAGTTACAAGTCCAATTTTATCACATTGTGAATTCAAGCAAGAAGTTGGGCCTCAGGCTGGCCAAATAGCTCAGCACATGAAAGCACCTGCAAGCAGGTGCAGGGGGCCGGCTGTTCGATCCCCGGCCCTGCCATACCGGCCCCAGCCCCGCCCCCGGGGCGCACTGACACTGGGCATAGTGGTGCACGAGGACCATTGAGTCCCATCTAGTAATGAAACCCTGAACACCGAGAGAGAGAGAGAGAGAGAGAGAGAGAGAGAGAGAGAGAGAGAGAGAGAGAGAGAGAGAAAGAGAGAGTTGGACTTCAGTTCCCACACCACCCATGAAAGCCCAAGGCACACCCTCACATAACAGGGCCAGCCCACCCTCCAGAGCTGCAGTTCCCCCTTGGGCCCTCCTGGGGCCTGACTGCACACCCCACCGAGCTGCGCCTCTGCTCCCACCCTGGGCTGAGTGTCAGGGCCTTGTGTGTGTGCACACATGCACACACGCGCGCGCGCGCGCACACACACATACACACTGTGCTTGGAGCTATGCCCCAGCCCTGCTCATGGTGTGAGCAGATGGGGGGCTCGGGGTGTGCCCAGCCCTGCTCCCTCCCCTGCTCGTCCCCAAGCTCTTCCCACCTTCACCCATTAGCACACACAGCGCTCATCCACACAAATTCACCCCAGGAGCCAGCTAGTGAGTGAGAATTGAGACTTTTTAATCAGCTTTGTTCTGTCCTCACTTTCCGATTCCCTACCATGAAGGAACAGCACTAATTCTGGGTCTCCACTGCTATCCAGACAGAAACAGCAATAAAAAGTACGTCTCACATAGTTAGTTCTACTTCGCTCTCAATGATGTAAAAATGGGAAGATGTCGTCTCCAGCTTTGTACAAGACTGTAAGGGACAAGCTGTCAAAAATGCCTTTGGACAGTAACAAATTTGGTTTTAAATTAAAACTGAGTAAAATGCAAAAGACAAAATTACAGAAAAGATGGGCCCACCCCACTTATACCACACTAGCTGTCTGCCTCCCACAACACAGTGCATTTTAGCTGAAAAGTTGCTTGCAACTAACCCTAACCCCGCAGCTGACCTGCCCCAGACACGGTGTGAGGACAGGCACAGGCACAGACTCAAGAACAGCTGAAGACGCGTGTTCTCACAGACAGAAAGGCTCTAACAACGAAGTCACTCATGTGGTTCTTTAGTGTCTCAACAATAGCTATGATTTTAGCTGTGGGAACTCATCTCTGAAAATCACAACAGAAACCAATGAGAAATCATTTAATATAAAATATACAAATTTTGCAGTGTGAGATGTCCACAGAACAAAGGAACAACTAAAATGTATTTTAAAAACACCATTCCTCTTACCTTATCCCTGAAATTCAAGACACAAAAACAAAACATCTGTACGAGGACCCAGAAAAGGATCAGAGAGGATGTCACGCTGCAGGCGCGCCACTTGCCCTGAACGCCTGCCCTCACCCACACCCCCCAGAGCAGGGAGACCCAGGTCCAGGCGGGCGGGCGGGCGGGCGGGCAGGCGGCTGCAGCTCACTCGCTGTCAAACTTGATCGAATTGACCTGCACTGAGATGGAGCCGCCTCGGTAGCTGCCTCGTTTCTTCTTGGTTTTCTCGTGCCGGAAGGACTTGCCTTTGGTGAACTTCAGAACCTGATTGGCACGTTCCCCCCAGTCTCCGGCTGCACCTTTCTAGCAGGCAGAAGCAGAGGCAGTTAATGCTGGCAAGGACAAGGCCAGGACCTGCCAGCTTCTTGTCCTCCCGCCAACCTTAACAAGGAGCAATGTGCTAAGCATCCCCTAGAAGGGCAAGGCTCTCCCCCTCACCTTGGCGTCAAAGGAGTTGTCTGCCACTCGGGAGTCCACCTCAATTTCCTCTTCCCTGACTCTCCGAAATGGGGAAGATGCTCTTTTTTCTCCCTGGGGAAAATGAATTCGCGACCTGAAGGCGGTGTGATCCCCAACAGCTCTCCCCACAGCATTCACTCCGTGTCAGGGAAGGGCAGGCTGAGCTGTAAAGGGACCTGGGCTTTTCTTCCTGGCTTTGAAGGTCTGGTTCCCAAGGAGTAAGACAACTTACTCGCTTCCTTTTGGGAAATGTGTTGGGAGTCTGCAGCTGAACCTTCTTGGCTGGGGGGGTCTCTGCCTCACTCTGCTTGCGCTTCTTTCCGGAACCTGCAGAACAGGAGCCACGCTCAGGAGCCGGGATCCCCAAGGGTCACAGCGGAAGCTAGGCCATGGGCCTCTGCCCACAACCCACCCCAAGAGTCCATCCCACCAGGACACGGGCAGAGCCCAGGTTCTCCAGACAGACCTGGCTTAGAGGCGGCCACTTTCTTCTGCCCCTCCCCTTCCTCCTCAGTGTCCTCACTGGCCTTCCCATTTTGAGCAGTCGGTGCCAAGGTGCCACTGGTCTTTGGAGCTTGGGGCCGTGGCGTGGCCATACCCTTGGGCTTCCCCCCTTCTTCCTCCTCACTGGAATCGCCAGAGGAAGAGCTGCTGCTACTCCTGGCCTTGGCCTTCTTGGCAGAGGCTGCCTTTGATGGGACTGCCCCTCCTGCCACTTTTTCAGGCTTCCTTTTAGCCTGGGACTTGGAAGGGGTCTCCTCCTCCTCTTCTTCCTCCTCCTCCTCACTACTGGAGCTGTCAGAGTCAGAGCTGTCACTCCCACCAGCCTGTTTGGCAGGTAGAGCTGCTGCTGCTTTGGCAGTCCCCTTCGCCTTTGGGGCGGCCACAGCCTTCTCCGGCTTCTCCTCTTCACTGGAACTGCTCTCCTCCTCGCTCGAGCTGCTGTCTGCCTTTCTCATCAGAGGCTTCTGGCTGCTGCCTGCAATCTGCTTGGGAGTGGCAGTTACTGGCTTAGCTGCAGGTGGCTTTGGAGTGGCAGCTGGCTTACTCTGGGGATTCCTGGAGCTACTGGCTGGCTTGGACGGAGCTTCTTCCTCAGAGCTGTCAGTGTCTAGACAGAAAGGACAGAGGAAGCAGCTGCCCAAACCATTCTTCAGAGGAGGCCTGCAGCAACAGCAGCCCAAGGGCAAGTGTCACCCTACCCCAGTGGCCCCACTGGGCCTCACCTGAGCTGTCTGAAGAGCTCTCATCTGCCTTCTTTGCTGGGGCTGGTTTGGTGGCTGCCTTGGTGACGGCTGTTTTAGCTGGGGCTTTCTTCTCGTCCTCAGAACTCGAATCTAGGGAGAACCTGTGGCATTATGCTAGGTGCAGAGGCCCAACCCAGGCAGGAGGGGACAAAAGATACAGAGACACCCAACACCTCAGCACAGCCCCAGCACAGCCGAGAGCTACATGGGACAGACTTTCTCCGGCCCTTGTTCTTACCCGCCTGCCCATCCCCGCTGCCGGGAGAGGCTGCACCTCTTGCTTACCAGACTCGTCGCTGCTGTCTTCATCGCTGCCCTTGGGATGCTGCTTTTCCACAGCTTTCTTAGAAGACAAGGCTCCCAGTGGCTTCTTCAGTAGGGGAGCAGAGGGTGGGGGCACGGAACTGTAGGGACCTGTTTGAAAGGGGCAGTCTGGTGGCTTTAAAATATGTACTCAATGGGACTGGTGAGATGGCTCAGTGGTCTAAAGCACCTACTTAGAGCAAGCTTAGCAAAGCACAGGGACCATGGTTCAATCCCCCAGCACCACATGCCAGCCAGCCCGCCCCCTGGTGGGCTGAGCTGGCCACACACACACACACACACACACACGAATAAATAAATTTTAAAAAAATAAATAAATAAAATAAAATATGTACTCAAGAGAGCTGGCCAAATAGCTCAGCAGATTAAAGTGCCTGCTTAGGCAGATACAGGGGCTGGGAGTTTAATCCCCCCCAGCCTGCCATGCCGGCCCTGTTCCCGCGCTGCCCTGAGACACTGGAGACTGGGCATGGTGGTGCGTGTCTCTAATCCCAGTACTTGGGAGGCTATAAATAGGCAGATCACTATGAGTCCAATCTACGCAGTGAGACCCTATACACCCCCATCCTAAATACAAAAAATAAAAAATAAAACATGTACTCAAGCTAGAGATATAGCTGAGCGGCACAAGCATCTGCCTGGCAAGCACAAGGTCCTGAGTTTGATTCCCACAACAAAAAACCCTAAAGTATGTACACACATGCTGGGCATGTGGTTGAATCACTGCACTGGCCTAAGGAGCTGGGCTTGACATCCCCAGCATTGCAAAAAATAAACACTCAAAAGTTCTTTGAAAAAAAAAAAAAAAAAGTTCTTTGATACTGCTTCTTTCCTTTTTTTTTTTTTTTTTTTTTTTGGAAATGGGGATTGAACTCAGGCCCTGCGCTTGCCAGGGAAGCACTTATTCCACTGAGCCATCTCCCCGGCCCTGATACTGCTTTCTAAGAGATGGTGCTTAATCCTCTTTTTTTGAGTACAGGCCAAAATGAGCAACTCATTTCTTACCAACAGAACCTGGCAGAAGGGACAGCTACACAAAGCACCGGGGCTGCCGGGCACAAGCGCTCAGCAGCCCCGTGGAAGGCTGCGTCCTGGCCACACCTGGCCCTGGCCAGCCCCTGCCTGACTCCCAGGCCAATTACCTGGCTTTTTCTTCACGGGCCTTTTCTGTTCCTCTTCTTCCTCACTGGAGGATTCTTCACTGCTGGAACTCTTCTGGGTGGCAGCAACAGGGGCCTTCGCAGGGCCCTTGGTCACAGCTTGCTTTTTAGGTATGGCCTGCAGCAGAGAGAACTGAGCATCAGAGGAGAACGGAGGCAGCAATCCCCCTTGCGAGGAAGAGGCCCAGGCCCGCCAGTCTTCCCTGACAGGAACCTTCTTGGGGATGGCTGGTGCTGTCTCGTCCTCTGAATCTTCGCTGCTGCTGCTGCTGCTACTGCTATCACCGCTGCCACCACCACCACCAGCTCTGCCATTGGCCACCTTAGGGGCTATTCGAGCTGGTGCACCTAAGGAGAAGGGAACAAAGCCAGGAGTATCAGGGCAAGCAGGAGACCATAAGAGAGCTGCTTCCCATCTGAACACCACAGAGCAATCTCTTAAGTGTTTTCTTTCGTGGTTGTCTTTTTTGAAGCAGGATCTCGCTATGTAGTCTAGGCTGACTTGAGCTCACTTTTTTTTTTTTTTAAATGCACTTTATTTTTTTTATTTTTTAACATTTATTTATTGTGTGTGTGTGTGTGTGTGTGTGGCCAGCTCAGCCCACCAGGGGGTGGGGCTGGCTGACATGTGGTGCTGGGGGATTGAACCGTGGTCCCTGTGCTTTGCTAAGCTTGTTCTAAGTAGGTGCTTTAGACCACTGAGCCATCTCACCAGCCCCTTGAGCTCACTTTGTATCCAAGACTAGTCTAAAAATTGCAGCAATCCTCCCGCCTCAGTCTCCCGAGTACTGGGATTAGAGGCATGCACCGCTTCTTCCAGTCATTCCTAGATATTTTTTTAAACTAAAAAGGAGGCCATGATTTACTAGGATTAAAGCATGACTCTCCTGCCCAACACCAGAGATACAATTATTTTACAATGATGGCATGATAAAATTCATCTAAACACCTCCACTGAAGCCTTTCACTTCCACATCTATTCAGAAGCTTACAAAGATCACAATGTAACCTTTACAAGGAAAACTATTCAAACTTTCTGTAAAGGGGAGATGGCTCAGTGGAATAAGCACTTCCCTGGCAAGTGCAAGGGCCTGAGTTCAATCCCCGGTTCCCGCAGAACAAAAAACAAAAAACAAACAAACAAAAAAACACCACTTTCTGTAAAAAACTGACACCGATCATGGCTACCTCTAGTTTAGCAGCCAATACAATATCACCTTGGCATCTAAGAGCGATTTTAACCCCTGTGCCCAGAGCACTTTGGTCCCAGCCCAGCTTCTTGGGAATAGAAACAGCACCTGGTTTAGCTGGGGCTTTTGCCTGGGCTTTCACTGCCACGGGTGTTGCTTTTGGCTTCTGGTTCTTTGGTGCCTCGTCCTCTGAACTTGAATCAGACTCAGATTCAGACCTCCTGGCCTTCTGAGGAGGAGCTCTGGCCACCCTGGCTTGGGGCTTAACTCCCTTCCGCTAGAAAACACAAGGCAGTGAATCAGCAGGACCTTCTGGACACCGAAAGGGTATCTGGGCTTTTACATTTTACGGGTAAATGGAACACAATGGGTGGGGAAATCCAGCAGAGGAGTATATGTTAAGAGGGAAAGAGAAGATGGGCACATTAGCACTGTGGGAACCCTAGCACTTGACAGGTTGTCCGAGGCCAGCTTTTTAAGTTATAAAGCAAAAAAAAAAAAAAAGTTATAAAGCAAGACCCTGCCTCAGTGAGTCAGCTACCTGAAATACTCAGCATAAGCAAAGGGGCGATTTAGGGTTTTCCTTTTCAAACCCTTGACCAAGCCTCTTCCTCCCCACGCTGCCCACCTGGACAGGGGTCTTCCTTGTGTCCTCCTCTTCCTCATCATCACTCGATTCCTCACTGCCGCTGCTCTCTGAAGCTTTGGCCACAGCCTTTCCAGGACGCTGAGGTGGACTGGCCCTCTTGGCAGGTACAGGTACAGCTGAATAAAAACGCAGGCCCAGGCCCAGGGCTGGTGAGATGGCTCAGTGGTCTAAAGCACCTACTTAGAACAAGCTCAGCCAAGCAAAGCACAGGGACCGCGGTTTAATCCCCCAGCACCACATGCCAGCCAGCCCTGCCCCCTGGTGCGCTGAGCTGGCCACACACACACACACACGCACACACACACTAAATAAATAAATAAATAAGCACAGGCCCAGGAAGGTCAGCCTGCAGCGTAAGTGGCCACAAATTTTCTTCCTGGAGCCACTGGGCCCAAACCCCTCCCCATGCCTTACCAGACTTCTTAGCTGGAACTCCTTGAACTGCCTCCTCTTCTTCCTCGCTGCTGTCACTAGATGAGCTACTCTTCTTAGCCTTCTTGGTCACTGGTCCGTTGGCCCGTAACTTCCGCTTTGGGGCTTTGGTGGACCTACTGGGGTAGCATGGGCTAAGTTCTGGGGGTTAGGGCCTTCTCAAGCCAAGACATAAAGCCCAGCCCACCTGGGAGAGAAAACAGAGGGGAACACGGAAAGCTTACTTGAGCCAGAAGCTATAGATGTCCAGGAGGGAGGAGGAGTTGGCATCCTGCTGCGTCTGTAGGAGAGAGAGCTGGGTAAGGAAACATTAGCCCGACTAATCTAGGAGAGGCTGGGTTTTGTGTTATTCTTGCATTAACTGTGACCAGTTATACATCTACCAAAGTTGGAATGAATGTTACACCTTCATAAAACTTTTCTGACCAGAATAAAGTAGGAAAAAAAATCTTAGCTATGTATCTCTGTTTTTTTGTAACAGAAACAACATAACCTGAAGTTTATGGCACCATTCATCTAGCGCCCTGCCTGTCAATCTATAATTACCAAGGATTTCTTAAAAGCTCGTTTACTTTTACTCTAGCTTAATCCTAGGCACAAACATTAACACAAAGTAGTGCTTGATGTAACAGGGCTTTTCATATCAAATTAACGGAAGTCACCAGAGGTGGCCAGGCATCCCTGAAAGCCTAGCACTTGGGAGGCTGAAACAGGATTACTGAGTTCAAGGCCTGCCTGAACTGCATAGTGCGACCCTGTCTGTCTCTGTCTCTGTCTCTGTCTCTGTCTCTGTCTCTCTCTCTCTCTTGTACTTTAGGGAAGGGTCTACAGGGTGTTCAGAGTCTCACTACTAGATTGGACTCAGTAGTGTCAGTAGTGATCCACCTGTTTACAGCCTCCCAAGAGCTGGGATTACAGGCGCACACCACCAAGCACAGTTCTGATTGCTGTCTCAGAGCACCCGGGGGACGGGGTCAGCATAGCAGGCCCAGGGATCGAACCCCTAGCCCCTGCACCTCTGCAGGCACTTTAATACGCTGAGCTATTTGGCCATCCCTTGTCTCTCTTTTTGATACCAGGAATCACTCAGGACCTGGAGCTTGCCAGGTAGGCACTGTTCCGATAAGCTATCTCCCCGGCCCTCAACCCTGTCTCAAAAACAAAAGCATGCGCACGTGCACGCGCATGCGCACATGAACAGGCACACGCACACACACAGAAGGATGCTGCCAAGTGATAACTGGTAAATAAACTACAACAGATTTGGAAAGCTTCTGTGGGGGAGGGATGAATACAAAACTTCCTTTCTTCCCTGTCCCTTTGCCCTTCAAACTGCAACTATATTTTCTAAAGCAGAGATTTGCCCTTACTTGATTAAAGACTGAAAGGAATTCTTAGAGGGACTATACACAGTAAAGAATCTCATTCAGCCACGTGTGACGGTGCACACCTCTAAGTCCAGCACGCAGGAGGCTGACTGCTACAAGCTCAACACCAACCTGGACTACACAGTGAGACCCTGCCTTAAAAAATGTCCTGAAAGGACCAGGGATATAGCTCAGGGGCACAGCACCTGCCTGGCAAATGGAAGGTCAGAAGTTTGAGTTGCAGGGGCTGGTGAGATGGCTCAGTGGTCTAAAGCACCTACTTAGAGCAAGCTTAGCAAAGCACAGGGACCACGGTTCAATCCCCCAGCACCACATGCCAGCCAGCCCCGCCCCCTGGTGGGCTGAGCTGGACACACACACACACACACACACACACACACATTAATTAATTAATTAAAAAAATTTTTTTTAAAAAAAGAAGTTCGAGTTGCAGTTAAAGGGGGCTGGGAGGATAGCTCAGTGGCATAAATGTGCAAAGTCCTGAGTTTGATCCCCAGCACACATCCACACATACACAAAAGACAACCCAAAATAAAAAGTAACAATCACATCCAGCTGTTATTTGTACTCACAGTACCCGATGTAAAAACAGAAAATGGTAAGGCCTCACACAGGAGCACAGGCCCACAAGTGAGGGGTGCAGGCCAGTGGTACAGTGCTCAGCATCCGTGTGACGTGAGCTCGCCTGTCAGGTATTACCATTTGACCTGGGAAAATTACTGACTCTCTCAGATTGCTTTTTTTCTGCAGGGGTCGGGGGCATTCTATTTTCTTTTTCCAAATAGGTTCTCACTTTTGTATTCTAAAGTGGCCCTCAAACTGCTGATCTTCCTGCTTCAGTGTCCTGCATGCTGGGATTATGGGTACGCACTACCATATCAGGTACCAGATTGCTTGCTTCTCTATAACAGTGACAATACTACCCATCTCATTAGATTGTTGAGAGAACAAGAAATAATGCAAACCAGGCACGGTGTCACACGCCCATAAACCAAGCCTTCTGGAGAGTGAGGCTGGAGGACCACTACAAATTCAGGGCCCCCCGACCACATATCATATCCAACCTGAAAAAATAAAAATAAAGAGTGTGGGAAAATGTATGTAAAGAGTAGAACATAGGGCCTGGGCAGATAGCTCTGTAGGATAAGCGCGTGCCTGGCAAGCACAAGGCCCTGAGTTCAATCCCCAAAAATGTTAACAGTAGAACATACGGAAACAGCATGTAGACCTAGCTACCATTTCACAAAGATTAACTTTCAGCACATAAAGCCAGTGAATCCTAACTCTAAAATACTTAGTTCCTTGCAGTCTAACAGTAAGCTTAGGAGAGTTGCAGTTAGTAAGCGTTAGATTAGAACACAAGGTAGACGGCCCTAACCCAAGGAAGTTCTTTATAAGACTGTTCTCTTTTTGCAACCCAATTCTGCTACAAAGAACAAACCTACTTTTCAGCCATAGTGTCATCCCTGACAAAGACACCACTCTTATCTTCTCTGGAGATGAGTTTCATGATGGTGCTTCTTGAAATCTAGATTCTCGATGGACACAGTGGCACATGCCTGTGATCTCAGCTCTTGGGAAGCAGAAGGATCCCCGTGAGTTTGGGTTACAAAGTGATTTCAAGGCCAGCCTAAACTAGAAGCCCCTGTCTCAAAAAACCAACAACAGGGACAGCCAGATAGCTCAGCGGGCTAAAACGCCTGCATAGGCAGAACGCAGCCAGTGGCCAGAGGTTCATCCCTGGCCTGCAGTACCAGTGCCAGCCCCATCCCTGGGGGTACACTGAGACTGTGATTGAGATTGGGTATGGTGGCTCACGTTTGTAATCCCAGCACTTGGGAGGCTGAAAACAGGATCACTATGAGTCAGATCCGTGTTGTGAGACCCTGTACTAAATACATTAAAAAATAAAATAAAAAAGGAAATCTAGGTTCCCTATCCTTCACATTCCTCGCAGGTGTTTGGAGGACCCTAAACTGCCCTAACTATGGTAAAAGCCACTATTATCTCACCCTACCTGTGTGCCAGCCCTGGGACTGCTATGTTTACATTTTATCTTACAGAAATTCACAAAAGTCCTACAAAGGGGATAATGACATACCTGTAGCAAAGACTAAGAGGAAGCAATCTGCCAGCATCGCAGATCTAAAGTGTGACAGCGCCTGGTCCCAAGCCTTGGCTGGCTTGACTCCACTGGCCAAAGGTCCAAGTTCACCCCTACGCCCGCTTGGTAGGACGTTGCCGCTCAGCCCTCCCTCAGTCTACCTGAACGCAGAACTTGCGCTACTCTCATTCATTTTCTCCTGCAGTAAAGAAAACCCTGGCCTTCAATTCTAAAGTAGTTTATGTCACCTTCCAGTCCCAGGAGAACGCGTTTGACAGCAAGGTAGAACTACACTTTGCCTAGGCCAAAAGGAACCCTTTAAAGGGACCTGGTGTGGCAAAGGCTTCGGTGGGACCCGCACCCCCTGCCACGTGACCCGGGCCACGAGGATCCCACGCCATCGCCGCTGCACAGCTCCCCAGGAAAAGTGGGAGATGAGGTCCCAGGCTTCCTCCAGTCGCCACGACAGGTCGCACAAGGATCTCGCCAACTCCGCCAACTCCAGGTTGGTGGAACCCACAGATCTCCCCACCTGGAAAACCAAGCACGTCGGGGCCTGCTGTCTGGGAGTCACCCACCCCTGCCCAAGCACCAAACCCAGCACTCACAGCGCCTGTCGCCTTGACGAACTTATTGGCCACCTCCGAGAGTTGGTTATCGCGCAGAAAGCCGAGCACGAGGGGATACAGGTCGCTGGGAACCACGCGGCGCAACCCGGCGTCCGCCATCCTCCGGCAATACGCGTCACTACCGTCGCAGAGGAAGGGCGACTACAGATCCGGGCCGGACCGCGGGCGAGGCCTGACGTCACTGCAGCGCGACGGCCGTAGGCGGAAGGGGTGGGACTCCTGGTCGCCCCGCCCCCAAAGCAGAGGCGGGACCGAGTCGAAATCCGGAAGCTCCTTCCGGTCCCAGGAGCGTCGTTAGGAGGGCGGAGCCCACAGGTCTCTGCGGAGGCGGAGCTCTGACGTCAAGGGCCAAGGTACGGTCAGTGGCGGGAAAACTTGGGATTTCCCGCGTGCTGCTCTGCTGAAAGCATTTCACTAGAGCAATTTCCGGCGCCCTAGTTGCGACTCAGATTTGAAAGTAATGAATGAGTGGACCCGCAGGCCATTGCCGCCCTTGTTTCCCCAAATGGTCCCGATGCCCCGCGGCTCCCTCTTAGGCCCTCCACCACGCTGGGAGATGGTTCCGGAGATGGTTCGAGTCCAACTTTTCCTGCCTTTGCAGCGAAGGATCCTTCAGGCAGATTCACAAGGTCACCCACTCCAGGCAGCCCCACCCCCACTTGTGCAGCGCCACAAAGGAAGTGTGAGCAACTGCCTCTAAAAACCACACAGCAGTGAGTCCTTCAATTCATTGTCCTAAGAATATTTTTCTCCAGATCATAACTTGCCAAGTTCCAGGGCCGGGGAGATGGCTCAGTGGAATAAGTGCTTCCCTGGCAAGTGCAAGGGCCTGAGTTCAATCCCCGTTTCCGCCAAAAAAATAATAGCTCACCAAGTTCCAGGTGCAATCAGTAATCCTTTTAACCCTACTCCTAGACTACTCGTTAATGTGCCTCAGGAAGGGTACCGATCCACGTCTAGACACCATTCTCCTTTGCCTTTGTCAAAACAGGCACTTCCCTTCCTAGAGAGAACTTGCATTGGACTCCACTTCGGGGCTCAGCCCTCATGCATGCATTCTAACATGCAGGCACTCGGGGTGAATCCCAGCACCGTGCCAAGCTAAGAAGGTAACCTCAACTGAAACGTGAAGGTGCACACAAGCCACTCAGAAAACCTTATTTACAAGTTGAGTTTCCTCTGGCTCTTACCATCCAAATCCCTTCCTGGAATAGTAACATTGCCCTGAATTTGAAATGCACTCAGGCCCCTGCCTTCAAAAGGCTCACCAAGGGCTGGTGAGATGGCTCAGTGGTCTAAAGCACCTATTTAGACAAGCTAAGCAAAGCACAGGGACCGCGGTTCAATCCCCCAGTACCACATGCCAGCCAGCCCCGCCCCCTGGTGGGCTGAGCTGCACACACACACACACACACACACACACACACACACACACACAAATAGAATTAAAAAAATAATAAATTTAAAAAAACAATTGTATAAAAAAAAGGCTCACCAAATGATTCAAATTCCCTTTGAGTGGGAGAGGTAAAGCCCCGGCAGATAACAACACACCTGAGAAACCAAGTTTCAAATCCGGTGGCTCCACAACCAGGCCAAGAGCCACAACTAACCAGGCTGGTAAACCTAGCACCAGTAAATGAATTAAGGGGACAAAGTTTAAGAAAGACACTGTATTTGTAAGGAGGAAAAAAACCAGAAGACAGCTGCTCCTGAGAGGGCTAAGGGGCTCCAGGAAGATAAGAAATCCAAGAGCCTGTGTCCCTGGCTTTTCCCATGTTTCGAGGAACCTTATCTTCCTGGAACTTGTCCGAATTTGACTGGCTCCCTGGGGGATTAAACCAGGCACTCTGGTTTCCCTTGTCTACATGCATGTTTCTTTGGTGCACTCTTTTTTCTGCCTGTTTGTTCTTGTCAGGGCTTACTTCCAGGATGTGTTTATAAAAGGTCAGCTTAGGGTTAGTAAGGAGATGTGTATTTGTAGAAATATAGTGACCCTAGAGGGAAAATAGATAAATATGTAAGTGCAAGGGTATGAGCATATGTTTTTACATAGTGAACAAGAATTTTTTTCATGTAGGGCAGCTGGCCAGGGAGATAGCTCAGCGGTCTAAATACCTGCCTGACAAGCCCAAGGACCTGAGCTCAATCCCCACTACCACATGTTGTGCTGACTCCACACTGAGCCAGCCACCAAAACTGGACATGGTGGCGCATGCATGTAATGCCAGCGCTGGGGAGGCTGAGACAGAGGGTCACTATGAGTCTGAGCTGAATAACAAGACCCTGTATCAAAGAAAAAAGAATGGCCAAATAGCTCAGCGGATTAAAGGGCCTGCAAACAGGCACAAGGGCCAGGGGCCCAATCCCAGGGCCTGCTGTGCCAGCCCCACCCCCGGGGTGTGCTGAGAGGGGGATTGAGACTGGGCGTGGTGGCACATGCCTGTAATCCTAGCACTTGGGAGGCTGTAAACAGGAGAATCACTATATCTGATCTAGTAGTGAGACCCTGAACACCTATAGATCCTTCCCTAAAGTAGTTAAGAAAAAGAAAGCCCTTCCCCTTTCGTGTCATCTTTTATTTAATGGAGGTGAGGAGGGCTATCTTGGCTCTGTGCACCTGGCTTCTCTGTGCTCTCTCCTGTCAGCTCTTCCTCTGGTCCTTTGGTGCAAGTTCCAATACCATTGTGCTACCTCGTGTCTTTATAACTGGTTTCTATCTATCCTTGTCCTTATAATTATTTCCAAGGGAGTTCCTCTAATAAAGTTTCAGCTCCTCCTAGTCAGAATTAGCCCAAACACGAAGCAGGCCCCTATTCTAGTCTTTCCCTGCCTACAGACCCCCTTGCCCTACCCTGGATTTTGTCCTTGACCAAAGAGAGGGCTCAGGAACTCAATGAGGTAAGCACTTCCCCGATTCTGTTCACAAAGGAAAAGTGATTCCATCTGGCAGTGGGACAACCACAACAGAGAGAAGTACAGCCACTGTCCGGGCTCGGTGGCTTGTGCCAAAAATCACTCACTCTAGGAGGCTGAGCCAGAGAGATTGCAAGTTCACCCCAAGCCTGACCAGTGTAGATCTAGCTCAGTACAAAGAACCTGGGTTCAACACAGTCCCAGCTGTGGGGATACACACACCCCCCCACACCCCCACAATAACACTGGAAATGGGGAGTTCATGTTTGTCAGTCTGCCAAGCGGCTGGTGTTCAAATCACTGAAGGAATTCCTCAACCTCAACCATTTTATATAGGAATGTCAGTTACCTTGTTTCAACCTGTTATGAAAAACAAATACCCCTTGAAAAAATCTGATTTAACATATTTTTATTTCACTTTTTTTCATTTCTTTATAAAACAGTCATCTCACTAGCAGCTCTCTCCCCTAGAGTCAGGGAGGGGGATAGAGGAGGCTAGATACCTCCAAGAACAAAGGAGGGGGAAGAGCCCAGGGTTACCTCCTGAGGTTCTTCTGGGCCTGTTTCAACAATGTGTCAAAGTCAAGAGAGTCAAATTTACTCTTTACAGGAGCAGGGTCAAAGTCTTCCCGGTTGGAGTCTACAAAAGTAGAGAGAGATAAACATCACCATCTCTGGGCACACATTCCACCCACCGGGTCCTCAGGTGGCCAGCCCTCTATCCCCCGCCCCTATCAATGGCTGCTGCTAAAACTGCCCTGATTTTAAATGGAAGGTATGTGGGAGTGCTCCCTCTTCCCCTCATCTCTCCCTTAGATTCCTTTTCCATGTCAGGTAAGACTACCTAGCCCCTCTAAGAATTAGGAACCTTTCCTTCCTTCTTTTTTTTTAATCCTTCAATTTTTTTAAGACAGTGTCTCGCTATGTAGTCCAGGCTGGCCTCACCCCACGGCGATCCTCCACCTCAGCCCTCCAAATGCTAGGCTTACCTGCACCCCACGCCTGGCCTAGGAGCCCTCCTTCAAGGGAATGAGGTATGGCAAAGCATCGCTCCCCTACTCACCAAGATCAGAATAGCTTCTCTTGCAGAACTGCCTGCGGCCCCCAAAGCAGAGGTCAAACGGCTGCTCATCCGCCTGCCGCAGCTTGTGGCCACTCTCGATGGCTGCAAATGCTTCCTCAGCATAGCGGTAAGTGACGAAGCCGTAGTTGTCACTGGTGAGGAAGGCAAGCGAGTTAGGGCCATGTATGAAGACAGTGCCCCACAGAGAGGTTCTTCTCATTCCCCAGTGTCCTGCACACCACGGCAAGGAACAAAGGCCAAGTAGGAGCCTAGATGACTGGGACTGAAAGGACTTCCTGACCTGCGACCCAGGCTTACCCCTGGACACGGAAATGGATGGTGCATTCCTCAATCTCTCCGAAAACAGAGAACCTCTGTTTCAGCTCCGACCGAGTCATGCGGCCAGGTATCTTCCCAATAAAGACCACCCTTCTCTCTTCCTGTGCAGGTGTAAGGCAAAGCAAGGCTGTGAGCTGGCACAGCAACCCAAGCACGCACCCAGGGCAGCCCCCGCCCCGCTGCACTCACTATTGCACGCTCCTTCTGCAGCACTCGCTGCCTTTGGTCATGGTCATGAGCACGATACGAGCTGTACCTGTGCAAGACAGAAAGCGTCATCAGCCCTGACACAACAGCTGGGGACTCAGACTCTCAGGCCCCTCCACCCCAGAAGCACATGCTCACCGCCGCCTCCTGTCACTTCTCCGGCGGGGGGATGGGGAGCGAGAACGGCTTCGGGAACTGGATGAGGAGGATGAAGATGAGGAGGAAGAGGAAGACGAGGAGGAGCATCTTCGGGAACGTCCAGAGGAGCTGCAACTGGACCTAGAGAATTAAAGGACAGGCGTTCGGGCCAGGAAGGATGCAGACATAGTCCACTCCATCATCGAGGCCCCTGCCCTGCCTGTCAGGAAGCTCAGAAACGAAGAATGCAGAGCAGAAGAGGTCTAGAGGAACAAGTTTTCCTCACAGACGAACACACTGAAGCCCGTCATGGAACTTTGAATAGATCTGGAATGTTCTAATGTGTTTGGGTAGACATTGTATTTATTTTCAATTGTGCCATTAAACACTAAAAAACACCAATCAGAAGGGGAAGGAAAATAAAAAATAAAAAAGAAGGGGAAGGAAACTGAATAGAAAAGGGGTGGCCCCTAGTTCTGTGTCTGTATCTGCGCTGCAGGGGCCAGGCCTGGCTGTGTGCTGCCAGCCCTATCACCCAGGAAGACTCCAACGGCGGCAGGCATGGAGGTGACCGTGCTACAACATATAAGCGGGTATTTTTGGAGATGTGTGTCACTGATGAACTCAGGAATTCTTTATTGAGTAAGTGAGCAAACTTGGGTCTGTTACCAAGAAAGTAAAATGCTGCCAGGAATTTTTTTGTTGTTGTTAAATTTAAAAAATAATTTAAAAAAAAATGCTATCAGGAAGTAGATGAGGCCATCCCAAGAGACCGCCTCATGAGCTTTACTGAACAATGACTGTTGGACAGTTTCCCCTCAGCAGTTAACCCACTGTCCCACACAGCACGGAAACACCATGAGGTATTTTCCTAGGTAAGGAAGTCAACACAGTCAAGATCAGCCCTTCATAGCCTCTAGGCAGGTCTCAAGGTAGCAGAGGACTCAGGAATACCCCAAACTCCAAAAAATAGAGGCTACGTTCTCACAGATTGCCTCCTTCAACAGGCCACAAAAGGAGAAAGGACGAAAGCCAAGATAGAACCAGAAGCCTCAGTGCCTGAAAGTAGCCAAGTCAGTGTGTGAAAGCTTTCAAAGTAAAGCGCAGAAGAGAGTGCACGGACTCCTAGCTGCAGGACCTAACAGGCCATCACGAGCTCACCTTCGCCACCTCTTGTGTGGGGGGGAGAGGGACCTGGACCGGGACCGGGACCGGGACCTGGACCGGGACCGGGATGAGGAAGACGACGGTGAGGATGAGGAAGACACTCCACTGGTCTGGCTGGACCCAGAGCTGACAGACCGGCTGCTGTGGCCACGACGGCCTTGCCAGCCCCTGCCTGGGGGGCTGGCTGACCTGCAGGCTTTTCGGTAACAGCGCATGGACGGCTGCTTGGCTGAGGGCTCAGGGGGAGTCCTAGTGTTCATGTCATTCCGGCAGGGCGAGGCCTCAGGAGACAGCAAGGGGGATGGGGCAAGGCAAACAGCTGGGGGAGGCCCCTGCTCACTGCTAGTCCTGTGATCAAGTGGCTCCAGGGAGGCAGCGGTGCATGGGAGCAGGGGAGCAGCTGGGCCCAGGGACAGGACAGGTTTAATGGTGATGTCCTGATGACGTTTGACGTTCCATCGGGAGCCCACCTCTGGAATGACTAGGGCAGGCATCTTTTGGGGAGGTGTCCTGCTCCGAACACAATAGTCATGATCCCCGGAGCCCACATGGATGGGACTAGGGCCACGGACCCCTTCTTGGAGGCAGGCTGCAGCTGGATGTTTGGCCTCCGTAATTCCTTCAGGCTTCAGGGTTCCCTCCTGGGCGGTGGACTTGGGAGATCTGGCTTTGGCCAGCAGTGGAACGGCAGCCAGGGGCTTCCATAACTGGTGGGGAGGGGTAGCTGGAGGGGTGAGGCCTGTGAGGGGAGGGAGGGTGGAGACAGCAGGGTGAGGTCTGATTCTGTACCTCCACATGCTAGCCAGTCTCCAGAGACCCACTTCTCAACAAGTGTCTCCCACTGTTTCAACTGTTCCTTTTCCCATGTTCTTTATCTTGGGGACCAGGTAGAAATCCCACCAGCCACGATCCTCCTCAATCCTCTCTCTTTTTTTTTTTTTTTGGCAGAACCAGGGATTGAACTCAGGCCCTTAAGTGCTTATTCTACTGAGTATCTCCCCGGCCCCAAAATATAGAAATCTCAGTTTCATAGGGTTTTATTTTTTGCAGTACCAGGGATTGAACTCAGGACCTTGCGCTTGCCTGGCAAGTGCTTACTTTACTGAGCTATCTCCCTGCCACCCTCTCATCTTCTGTTACCAATACCTAGCTGAGTGGGTCCCACCTGCCCACCCTGCACCCAGCACTGCTCCGTTCTCCCTACTTGCCACCTGTCTTCCACACCGCACATGAATGGACCACCCAAAACACATCTGAGAAAACTTTTCACTGCTGCTGCTGCAATGCATAGGACAGTCTGAACAGCTTAACAAGCACTGAATGCTCCATAGTCAGATCTGTTTACCACTCCAGCTTTCTGTCTTGCTCTTGTTCTGCCCACCACCCTATCAGCCACTGCTCCAGGGAAGCACCACCACACACAGGCTGGCTCTGATCCTTTACCCACTCTGGCTGCTCCACTTGACCAGGATGCCCCGGGTGAATCTACCACCTGAGTGCTATCCTTGGCTTTCTCAAGCCTCACCCCACCCCAGGGGTAACCTATATACCCCTTGACTGTTCCCTTTGGATCTTACTAAAAACCACCAATTTCCTTAGCACAACCACTTCCATGGCTCAGCATGCTTCTGTTTACTACACATCTGCCCCTAAACTCGAGCATCTCAAAGACGGGCACGAACGTCTGTACTGTCAATGCAGGGCAGGCACTGCACATTTGCTACACACACTAATCACAGGCAGAATTCCCCAACCTGAACCCACCTGCCACGTTGGCCAGCTCGGGGGCTTGTAACCGGTCTAGGGGCCTCTTCTCCTGGGGAGTGTCAACGTTGCTGGCAGGGGGAAAAGGGAAAACCTGGTTCATTGCCTCCTCAGTGTCACGTCCATCAGCTTTCCTCACGAAGCAATTGGAGAAGGTTGTGTTCCAAGAAGAGTGGGAACGGACAAACTGCTCCCATCCTCCTCCAGCACAAAAGGGCTATTAGTGACTCAACTGCAGGCTGGGTCTCCTCTCTGCTCGGCCAACTCCAGGAAGCAGGCTGGCTATGACCTAGAGGACCCCCCAAACTCCCTCAAGTCAGAAGCCTTTGCTACCACCTCAAGCCAACCTGAAGCCAGTGCACAGGGGAACATGGCTGGCAGAACAGGATGGGAGTCATGAACATGAAGAGTCCTCTCACAGCTGGATGAGTGGGGCACGAGGAGGTCCAGGGTACCTGTGTCCTCCAAAGTGCCAGGGAAGCCCTCGCCAATAATATCTTCCCCCACTCTTACTCCATCATCAGCACTGAGCAAGCTTATAATTTCTTAAGTGAATGACAGCAGAACTTGTCAGAAGATACAGAGATTCTCTAGGGGATCTAGAGCCCTTGACTACAATCAGCACGAGGGCAGGTCACACGCTCCCACCTCACCATCACACCAGGGCAGTGGCCGGCAGTGACAGACTAACTGCACAATGCTGACAGTGGAGGCATCCATCGACGGTCCCAACACAGCTGACCAATGGCTGGCGGGTAACTCACTTACATCACCATACTTACCCTGAGTCTCCTACAGTGGTACCATCAGCAGGAGCCAGGGGAGGACATTCCTTTTTGGCTGCAAAGAAACCACATGAGTTAAAAGGCCGGACCAGATGTTCCAGGCTAACGTGGCAGCAAAGGGCTGAGCCTCTCAGAGGGAAAGCCTACTTCGTCTTCACATTCCTTGCTGGGCTCCCCGGGGAGACATGGTCTCCAGTGGGCACCCCAGCACTATTTATTTACGCCTGTCTCTTCTCTGTTTGGAGCCAGCCAGTCTCACTGTGCTAAGAGTCCACCTGTAGAAACTTACTACATTCAAGTTTCTACGTAATCTTCCTAACTTCCGAGCCTTATAGCCTACTTGGGAGTGTGCACTGGTGTGCCCAACCATATAGTATGTTTTTTGTTTTGAGATAGTGTCTCATTATATGATTTAGGCTGGCCTTGAATTCACTTTGCAGCCCAGGCTCGTCTCCAACTTGCGGTGATCCTCCCGCCTCAGCCTCCCAAGGGCTGGGCTTACAGGCGGGTACCACCATGCCCACACAGCACAGTTTTGTCCCACATTTTTCTTTGTATTGAAGGTCAAACTCAGGATTTTATATGCATGCTAGGCAAACACTCTATCATGGGGCTGGACTATATCCACAGCTTTTTTAAGAAAATATTGAACAGGGGCTGGAGAGATGGCTCAGTGGTCTAAAGCACCTACTTGGAAAAAGCTTGGCAAAGCACAGGGACCGCGGTTCAATCCTCCAGCACCACATGCCAGCCAGCCCCGCCCCCTGGTGGGCTGAGCTGGCCACACACACACACACACACACACACACACACACAATAAATGTTAAAAAAAAAAAAAAAAAGAAAATATTGAACAGAGCTTCATTAAATTGAACAGGCTAGGGCCAGGGATGTAACTCAGCACCTGCCTGGCAAGTACAAGGTCCCGAGTTCAATCCCCAGTACTAAAATAAATAAATCAATCAAGCAGACTAATCTGCCATGCTCCTGAATAGCTGAGATTGTAGATGTGCACCCCACTGCCCAGGACTTACACTCTGCTTGTTCTGTAGATGCTTAGAACCAGCTCCTGTTTACCTCCTTAGTGAGACCAAAGCTCCCGGACAAAGCCATCCCACAGCACCTAGAGCCATGCCTTCTCTCTCCAGAGTCAAGTGATCCATCACCTTCCAAATCCATCATACAGGGCCTTTCTTCTGTCCTCTTTCCACCTTTACCATATGTGCTATCTTTAAAATCCTCTTTTAAGATTTAGCTTGAGAGCTACTTCCCTCTAGAAAAGTGTCTCCAAACAACTCCAACCAACCTGGACCTCCCTACCTACTCCTGGAAATCTTGTCTGCCCAGCCCACTGGGGGCTGCTTCTTGGGGCTGGGGCTGCCCTCCAGGGCAGCAGAACTACAGGGCTCAGCCTAAGGACTGTATCAACTATAGAGGGGTGTAACAAAACTATTTTTTCTCACCTTCTGACTTCTCAAACTGCTCCAGCAGACTGGATAAGTCTGATGCCTCAATCCCTATGGAGGAAGACAACACAGGATTAAAGGAAAGCCCTACCAGCTGAGTACAGTAAGTGCACCCCCTCCCTCTCCCTTTCCATCTCTCTGCCCACATGAGGTGAACTGAGTCAGCAGCCCTAAGCAGGAAGGACTGAAACAAATCAAAGGGTTCTTTCACTTGTGAAGACCCTTCCAAAGAGATCCAGTAAGGCGGCGACCTAGCGCGGCGGTTTCCGCGCCAGGCTCTAGAGCGCGAGGTCGCCGGTTTGTGCCCCCGTCCCAACTCTTTTGGGGGCCAGGGAGATGGCTCAGTGGAATAAGCGCTTCCCTGGCAAGTGCAAGGACCTGAGTTCAATCCCCGGTTCCACAAAAAAAAAAAAAAACCAAAGAGATCCAGCAAAGGGCAGCCTCATGAAGACCCCTTACACAGGGGTCAGGGAGATAGCTCAGTGGAATAAGCGCT